CCGGAGGGGAGGGACGTGGGGCGGGTCCCCTCCGATCTCGCCGGTCCTCGGGAACCCCTCCAACTTAGCCCAAGTTGGGGGAGCTTGGGAGGGGGGGCCAAGGTCCAGAGGGGAGACGAGAGAGCGCGGGGCTCGGGGCCGCGACAGCCTCCGCGTCACCCGCGCCCGGCGGCCAACCAGAGTTTCCCAGCAACTTTTCTCGCCGGTGGGTCACCCCGGAAACTTCCCCCTTCCCGGCCCGGGAACCCGGCCATGGGCCCTGCGCCTCCTGGGCCTGGGCTCGGAGCGCGGGGCGAGCGGAGGCGATGGCCTCAGCGGGGAAGCCCCCGGCACCCCCTCCCCCTCACCCCAGCGCACTTCCAACCCCGGGTTTCCATCTGAGAGCCCCGCCCCGCAGCTGTGGGGGCGCGGCGACGTCCTGCGAGGCCTCCCAGGAGTTCTGGGTCCCCTGGGTTGCCGTGGGGCTGGGGGCGGGGTAGGAGGTGGAGCCAGACTGCCTGAGTTCAAGTCTTTGTGCCACCAGCTAACAGCTGGATGACCTTAAGTTCTTGAAGTCTGTGTCTCAGTTTCATCCTTTATAAAGTGGGAATGATGACTCCTAGCTGGGACAGCTTTTGAGAGGGTAGGAGAGGTGACACATGCAGATGGCTTTGCCTGGTGCCACCAGTCAGTGTGGCCTCAACCTGTTGGGTGGGGTAGGGGCTGGAGAGGGGTGGGAGAGAGAGCCACTCCCATCCCTAATTCTTACGGTTGTCCTACAGGAGCTGTGACAGGTGCCTCCCATCAGTCTGAGCTGTGAGTGGCAGGTGGAGAGAGGTCCACTCAGAAAGCCAGCCCCACCATGAGTCTGTGGGAACTTGACAGCCACAGCTGCCAAGGTACCCCAAGGCCGGCTCAGGAGCCCAGCACTGAGGAGACACCGGCTGTGGAGCTGCAGATGAAGGTTGATTTCTTCCGGAAGCTAGGCTACTCATCCGCTGAGATCCACAGTGTCCTGCAGAAACTGGGGGTGCAGGCCGACACCAACACAGTGCTGGGCGAGCTGGTCAAACATGGGTCAGCAGCCGAGCGGGAGCGCCAGGCCTCCCCGGACCCCTGCGCTCAGCCCCCCCTGGTCCCCCGGGGTGGGGGCACCCCCAAGGCACCCACCCTGGAGCCCTCACCCCCAGAGGAGAACAAGGAAGGCAGTGACCTGAGACCTGTGGTCATCGACGGTAGCAACGTGGCCATGAGGTACGTGTCACTTCCAGGGCCAAGGCCAGGGCCTGTGGTGGAGAATGGTGGCCTTGTGTCTGCATCTCTGGTAGAGGGGCCTTCAGGAAAGAGTTTGAACTGTTCTCCCAGACTGATCAAGAGGAAGGGAAAGCCCTTTACTGAGGCTCTCCCTTAATCCTTATGGCTTCTTGGAAGTGGGCTTGTTAGGAATGTTCTAGGGATGAGGACAGGGGCTCAGAGATGTGCCCATGGGCACACACCACTGGTAAGCATTAGAGCAGGGATGCGAACTTGGGTCCTTCTGTCTCTGGTGTTCACCTTGGGCTCTTCGTCTCTCCCTGAAGACCATCACTCAGTCGCAGTACCTCTCCTACGACATGAGGCAGTATGGTGTAAGGGATGAGACTGTGGGGCCAGCTTGCCCATGTAGGAGCCAGTCACTTGATGTCTTGGAGCTTTCTCTCCTCGTCAGTAAGACCCAGCTAACCCCTGCTCAGATGCCATTGTGAGGAGTGGAGGCACAGAGCCTGGACAGAAGCGCAAGCTCAGTAAGCAGTAGTTGTTACTACTGTTACTTAGGGGTCTGGGGCCCCTGAGGCCTTGTTGTGCCAGACCTGGACTCTGAGGAAGCAGGCCCGGGTACTGGGACCTTTGTCGCTGTGACTAAGAGTGAGCTCCAGGATCTGGCTTACATGGGGGCGTGGGGGCGGGGGAAGGGGGGTGAGCGTGGGCAGGTCAGCTGTGACTTGGGTCACCTCTGCTACAGCCAAGCCACCTTGACTAGACTGGGCCTAGGTGCCCTCCAGGGCCAGAGCCAGGACTCCACCCCAGTAATCCTGCCCTTCGAGAAGACTGTCACAGGGATTGGGGTCAGGTGAAGCCGGGGCCAGGGCTGACCCTAGGGAGCCCAGACCTCCCTTCAATCCAGGCCCCGCCCTCTGGGTCAGGGCTGGGTGGATCGTTCACCAGGAAAAGTTCCAGTCGGCGTGGTCAGGGAGACCTCCAGATCCTGGTCGGGGCCTGGGGAGGGCTCCTTCCCTGGCTTCCCTGAGGGGTCTCCCAGGTGGGCTGCCTGAGGTTTCAATGCCCTTGGCCCTTCCCACTCCCAACCCAGCTGGGCCAAGTCAGCTGTCAGGCTGATCCTGGCCCAGCTCAGCTGGTGTGCAGGCGGCCCTGTTCTGGCCACCTTTGGATCAGTCTTCCTGTCTCAGAAATGGGCTGAGCCTCGGTGGGAGGTTGGGTAAAGCTGGCTCCCGCATGCTGTCGGCAGCTGGTCACAACCTTTTCTTTGAGAGGGGGTCCCCTCTCTGGCTCCAGCAGCTTGTGGCTGGCCCAGGAGCCGTGCAGGTCTGTGACTTCTTCCCCTGGAGGCTTGGGCAGGCTGTGCTGGCTTGGGGCAGCCCACGCTGACCATCTCCCGCGCTCCCCACTCCCTGGGGACAGCCATGTGCTCTGTGTGTTTGTATCCTGGCAGGAGGAGGAGGGGCCTGGGCGGGAGGAGGGGGGTGGCCTGAGGAGCTGGCCTGGAGAGGCACAGCCGTGGGGGGTTTCTGAGCTGGGGCGGTAGCAGGAGGGGAATTCCAGCCTCAAACTTCCTGTCTCAGCTGCTGCTGGGTTCCTGCCCTGCTGCCCCCTCCCCCCCAAGGGCAGACAGGCCAGCCCCCACCATATGCAAATCGTGGGGAAATTCACCTCTGTTTCCTTCTAAGGGAATTTTTCTCCTCTAGCTGGGCCCAGCCCAGGCAGATCTCTTCACCTGGCTAGTCTGGCCTGGCCCTGCCCTCTGTCCTTGGGTGGGAGCCGCCGAGCTGGAGTCCCCTACATCTTCACACAACTTAGCCAATGTCTAGTTAGCCAGGCGGGGAGGGGGGGGGCGGGGCGGGGCGGGGAGGCAACCTTCTGGGCAAACGGGCCTGCGGTGGGGGAGGGAGGATGTCTGGTTTTCCTGTGCCAGCAGAGCTTCCTCCATTGCAGCAAGAGGGACTAAAGTTAGCTCTAGGGAGGCACTCCTGGCCTGGATCGACTTGCGGAACTACTTCGTGGGTTCAACTCCTTCCAAGAGCAAGGCTCTTCACTACCTGCCTACGGAGTATTTTAGGGGCCAGGACAGCTGCCAGCAGACTTGTCCCCAGCCCAGGTTTTTGATGCCCAGAGGCAGTATGCTAGCCTGGATTAAGTCCCCGAGCTTGCAGATGCTGGCCTAGGATGGGGCATGTGCACATACACACACGTGTACAGATGTGGGTCCAGTGGGTGCTTGTGCTGACTGCTTACCTGAGCCGGGGAGCCAAGCCAGGGATGATCACATTCCCCTGGCTGTGGGGAGGCAGCAGAGGCCCAGCGGGGGTGGCGGGAATGTGGCGGGAGAAGCGCTGGGCATTTGAAGAGAAACCAGGGATCTGAGCTATCCTGGAAGGTCCGTCCAGGAAGGCTTCCCAGAGGCAGTGCTGTTTCACGTGGGTGCTGGAGGAAGAGCGGGAGTTGGCCAGATGCATCCTTGTCTCCTGTTCCCAGCCTGCCCCCTACCTCTTAACACTTTGTTCAGACTCAAATTTGGGAGCTTTTCTTTCTGCTGTACAAACTTCAGGTCTTGCTATTAAGGACTAGGAAGGCAAGCTAGGGGCCTCAGATGTGGGTTCAAGTTCTGTCTTCCCACTAGCCCGGGAGCCGTAGATGAGTTGTGCATCCTCGGTTTCCTTCACTGTGGCCTCGTAAGGATGAAGAAAGCAGGTGTGGGACTCATCTGGCCTCCAGTAGGAGCTTGGTGCCCACTCAGCCCCCATCTGTCCCCGCCGCCAGGGTTGGTACTCTGTACCTGTCTGAGCATCAGCGCCGGGGTATTATGAGCACAGGCTCTGGGCTGCGTCTCTGTCCCACCATCACTGCAACTGGTTGTGCTCTGTGGCTCGGTTTTCTCATGGGAATGAAGGGGAAGGGGGCCTTTAATGATAGGACCCTCCTCAGAGGCTTGCTGATGATTCCGTACTAAGCATTTAGATCAGGGCCTGGCTCCTGGCTCTCAGTAAATGGTAACTTTTATTATAAGCAGGCTGGTGGACGGTGGGGAGGCCCCACCACCTGGTGGGGGTGAGCACTGCCTTCAGCTGTACTTTGCCTCCCTTACAATTTACGGAGACCTTCAGATTGGGAGCCCCAGCCTCACCCCCAGACAGCCTCCGTGCCCCTCAGCTGCCCCACCCCCGTCTCTACCTTCTCTTGGGACTCCAGCTACCACCCCCACTCCAAAGCCACCCACAGGATGTGGTCGCTCATGGACTTGCCTCTTTTGTGTAACGTTTATTCTGTTTTATTTGCCAAATGTAAGCGTCTGAGCTGCTCCCGGAGGGGTTAGTGAGGGGCAGGGGCTGTTGGGGAGGGAGCTGTAGCTGGCCTCGTCCAGTGCCCCCAGCCTGGGCTTGGAGGCCTTCTACAACACCCACTGTTCCTTGGGGGCCCCCAGCCCCCTCTTAACCCTCCCAGGAAGCCAGTTGGAACCTCCACTTTGCTGGACTGTCTCTGGCCTCAAGCAAACACGCAAGTGATGCCCCTGACATGGGCCCTTCTTAAGGAGACTGCAGATTGCCAGGCCCATTTGTCAGATAGGGCAACTGAGCCAGAGCAAGCCAGCAGCCCGTCTGGGCTTGCTTCTGGATCCAGCCACCTTTGGAGGGGGTGACATCCAGCTGTCAGACCACAGCAGGGGCATGTTCTACCTCCCAGCTCTCCTGCTAACAGAGAGAGTCCCCCTGGTGGCTTCCAGATGGCCTTTCTTGCCTCAGCCCCCGCCCTCCTGAGCCGGGTGAGGAGAGGACAGGGCAGTCCAGGCATTTGGGGGAATTGGCAGTCTTGGGAGGAAAAGCTCTTTCACTTTCAGACTGAAAGGCTCCTGAGTGCCTCTCCCACTCTGTCACCGCTCACCCCATGTGGGACAATGGATTGTGCCTCCTTCCTCTTCGCCCTCCTCAGTCCCAGCCCCTGGGGCCTGTGTAGGACTGAACTTTAATCCATGTTTAATCCAGAGCAATCTGGTTTCTCTTCTGTTAGCCGGGGCTTGTCCCTTCCCACCCCCACCCACAGCACCGCCCAGCAGACGAGGGAGGACGGGTGACTCAGTGTGCCTGTGTACGTCTGTGTCCCTGTGGTCCCAGCACCCCCGGGTGGGGCAGGAACCAGAAGGCTCCTGGAGCCTTTCCCCCACCCCCAGGTGTGTTGCAAGCAGCCTGACCCTCCCCCCCATGGGGAGCGGGTGCCGCCAGATTCCTGGGCGGCTCCTCACTGTCGGGAGATGGAACCTCAGGGAAAGTCCCTGGTCAGGCCATCCCGGACGCTGTGGGAACCAGCAGGGAATGCAGGCCTTGGACCAGAGGGCAGTGGGCTGAGCCCAGCCACTCCACCACCCAGGCCAGGCCAGCGGCTAGGGAGCAAGCCCCTTGTGCTCAGGGCTAGGGGAGAGTGGGCCAGCCACCCTCGCAGGCTGACCTGTCCCTCCTCTCCTTCCCAGCCACGGGAATAAGGAGGTGTTCTCTTGCCGGGGCATCCTCCTGGCAGTGAACTGGTTTCTGGAGCGGGGCCACACAGACATCACGGTATTTGTGCCATCCTGGAGGAAGGAGCAGCCTCGGCCTGATGTGCCCATCACAGGTGGGTGGCACCTCTGGAGTGGGTGGTCTCCCTGCCCCAGCAGGGCTCCTCCCCAAGAGAGACCCTTTGGGTGTGACCAGCAACTTCTAGGCCTCAAGCAGGGACCAGCATTTCTTTTCCCAGCTTCCTCTGCGCTCAGCCCCTTCCTGCCTCGGGGTGCCTGGGGTTCCGAGCCCCGTGCCTGGCCAGCAGGAGGCTCCGGGGCCAGGGCAGGCTCTGACCTGCCCTGCTGCTGTCCCGCAGACCAGCACATCCTGCGGGAGCTGGAGAAGAAGAAGATCCTGGTGTTTACCCCGTCCCGGCGCGTGGGCGGCAAGCGTGTGGTGTGCTACGATGACCGCTTCATCGTGAAGCTGGCTTTCGAGTCTGATGGGGTCGTGGTCTCCAACGACACGTACCGGGACCTGCAGAGCGAGCGGCAGGAGTGGAAGCGCTTCATTGAGGAGCGGCTGCTCATGTATTCCTTCGTCAATGACAAGTACGGTCCTGGCCCTCGGGTCTGGGGTCCCCGGGGGTGGGGGGGAGCCAGATGTGTCATCAGGTGTGGGGGGCGGCCTTGCATCCAGGCAGCTTTGGGAGCAAGAGGGACCTGGCACCAGGTAGAAGGGGTCAGGCTGGGGACGGGCCAGGGTGGGGGGTGGGGCAGAAGCATCTGTGATGGGATATGGTCAGTGGTTCCCAGCACTCAGTCCCTGATCAGCGGCCCGTGGATGGGTGCAGCCTTAGATTCAGATTTCCAGGTTGCAGGCCTCCCACTGCCTCCGGAGCTCCCAGCACGAAAGCTGCTCTGATGGCCCCTCTGGCTGGGGCCTCCTCCCCTCCCTTGGGGCATTCCCACCCTGAGGGCCCAGGGATGTCCTGCAGGATGATCACCAGTTTTAGGAGCTGCTCTCCCTCCTCTTCTTCCTGGTGAGGCTCGCTGTCCAGCCCCCCTGCCCGCTCCGCACTGGGAAGCTCCCTTCACGCCTCCCACCTCCTCTGCAGGTTCATGCCCCCCGATGACCCTTTGGGCCGTCACGGGCCAAGCCTGGACAACTTCCTGCGCAAGAAGCCGCTGACAGCGGAGCACAGGAAGCAGCCGTGTCCCTACGGTAAGACACCTGGGCCCCGATTCTTCCTCACGGAGACCACCCAACCCCGAGTTTACTGTGCCACCCCCTTCCCTCTCCTAGCCCTGGTTCTGCAGCCCCCCCGCCCAGAGACCCCCTTACTGTCTTGCAGGGAGGAAATGCACCTACGGGATCAAGTGCCGATTCTTCCACCCAGAGCGGCCGAGCCGCCCGCAGCGCTCCGTGGCTGACGAGCTCCGCGCCAATGCCCTCCTCCCACCCCCCAGGGCCCCGGGCAAAGACAGAAGCAGCCAGAGGCCCTCACCCTCGTCCCAACCCGGCCCTGGGCCCACAGAGCATGAGCAGTGCAGCCTGGACGGGAAGAAGCTGGGAGCCCAGGCATCCCCGGGGCCGCACCGAGAGGGTCTGACACAGCCCTTCGCCCCAGCTGGCCGGAGCCTCCCGCCTGGTGGGGGCAGCGGCAGCAGCTTTGGGCCAACAGACTGGTTCCCACAGACGCCAGAGTCTCTCCCGTACACGTCCCAAGAGTGTCTGGACTCAGGCATCGGCTCCCTGGAGAGCCAGATGTCCGAACTCTGGGGGGTTCGCGGAGGGGGCCCTGGTGAGCCCGGCCCGCCTCGGGGCCCTTACGCCGGCTACAGCCCCTACGGGGCCGAGCTCCCAGCCGCTCGGGCCTTCTCTGCCTTTGGAGGGGCCATGGGTGCCGGCCACTTCAGTGTCCCTGCTGACTATGCCCCCCCACCGGCTGCCTTTCCACCTCGAGAGTACTGGTCTGAGCCGTACCAGCTGCCCCCGCCCACCCCAGTCCTGCAGGACCGGCAGGTGCCAGGCCCGGGGGCTGACAGGGGCCCATGGGGCGGGGCTGGCAGCCTAGCCAAGGAGCGAGCCAGCGTGTTCACCAAGCTGTGCGGGGTCTTCCCCCCGCACCTGGTAGAGGCTGTGATGGGGCGCTTCCCGCAGCTCCTGGACCCCCAGCGGCTAGCTGCAGAGATCCTTTCTTACCAGCCCCGGCACTCCAGCAAGTGAGCCGGCTGCGCGGGGGCAGCCACCCCCAAGGCTAGACTGAGGGAGGACTGAAGTAGGGAAGGGAAACTGCAAACCAAAGAGAACTGTAGGATTGGTTCTGGCCCCCCGGCGCCTGGAGCCGGCTGCCGAGTGGGGCAGGAGCGATCGCCCTGTTGATGCACATTGTATCTGTAGTTTAAGGAGACGCTGCCGTAAAGGCATCAGTCCGTGGCTGAAGCCCAAACCCCCCTTTCTCTCAGAGGGCGGGGAGGGAGGCGGTGGGGAGCAGAGGCCTGGGCTGGGGGCCCTGTGCACGGCCCCCCACCTCCGCCCCGTCCCTGGGATGCCGGCCTCGGCTGGCTAGTTAGGCACCGTGTGCCTGCCCTCCAAGGGCCCCTCCGGTACGCCAATGAGGCCGCATTGGTGCTCTCGCAGGGCACCAGGCTTCATGTTAGTAAGCAAGATGCTTCTTAATAACCCACCTTCTGTCCCACTCTGTTTGCCTGTCTGCTTGCCCCCACTAGGGGTCAAGGGTCCTCTGTCCCCACCCTCTCTTCCCCTTCCTCTGTGCTCCGAGTCACCTCTCCCGCAAGAGTGGGGACGCGTGTATGTATGTGTACAGGTAGAATGTTAAGTACTTTAAGTGTAAGTCCTTGCCTCCTTTAACATGTCAGTAAAGTACAATGTGACCCCTTTAAGAGATGATGGTCTTGGTTGTACTTGGGGGCTGAGCGGGCCTTTGAGCAGTGGAAGGTCAGCAGGTGTGCACCTGACCCAAAACGCTCAGTCCCTTGGGGGCAGAGCCTTCCTTACTGAGGCCGTGGCCCAGGCCTTGAGAGGAGGTGGGGTAAAGTTGGGGAGTTGAAGTCCTGTGGCTGTGGGGTGGCGAGGGGTGGCAAGGGTTGGGGGCAAGGGGCGGGATTGGGCTCTTTCCCTTTTCTGTCCTGTGGCCAGAGCTGAGGACAGAAAACCATCTGGCTTTCTGAGAAGAGGGCTTCCAGGATAGTTGAGGAGAGAAGATGCTGGGGGAGCCCTTGGGTGTTAGGCTCTGGCCCCACCTTCCCAGGCACTGCCATGTTCTAGACGTGGAGCTCCACCAGAGTGGAGCAGGGGGCGCAGAACAGCCTGGAAAGGCGACGCCAGGGTAGCCTCCGTGCGGGAGGCTAGGGGTCCTGGTCCCAAACTCAGGAACCAGCTCTGCCACTGGATTCACTAGGGACAAGTGACTCCCCCTCTCTGGGCCTCAGTTTCCTCATCTGTGAAGTGGGGATAATAACGGTACCTACCTTACAGGACAGGGAGGATGTGAGAGTATGCATGTTGACCACATGACCCAATGCCTGACATAGTAAGTGCTCATCAAAGGGCCTCTGGTGTTGCTCTCCGTGGGCTGTGTTCACCTCACCATCTCTACCTTCTCAGCGGCCCCTAAAAGGAAGGAAGCCAGGCAGGAATATACATTTTTCTCAGATGAGAAAATGAGATATAAATGCTACAGATTTTAAGTGAAAAGCTGGGCTGTCGTATGATCCCTGAACACCATCAGCAGGAGAAAATGGAAAAAATACAGTTTTAATAATTCTATATTTGAACATCTCACCTAATCTGTACTTGCTGTTTGTGAAGCTTTTATAGTATCTGTATTTTTTTTTTTTTTAGAAACTGCTTTACCACAGAACACCTGAGCAGCATGTTGAGGAAAATGCCACATTGGCCCTCTCCCTGCACGCTGGGCCCCCACTGTGTTCTTCACCCTGAACTTTTTTTTTTAAAAGATTTTGAGAGAGTGAGAAGGGAAGAGCGAGTTGGGGGGAGAGGGAGAAAGAGAATGTCCAAGACTCCCTGCTGAGCGAGGAGTCCAACGTGGGGCTCGAGCCCACAGCCCTGAGATCACGGCCTGAGCTGAAATCCAGAGTCGGACACTCAACCGACTGCGCCACCCAGGCGCCCCACCCTGAACATTCTTTAGAAGCCGGCAGTTAAAGCAGGGACCCAGGCGCAAAGTGGGAACGATCTCCGCAAATGTTACCTTGAAGCCCCCACACGTGCTCTTCAAGGTACCCCATGCCCGTTGGCTTCCAGCCTCCTTGGAAGGTTTTATCTGCACAAAGAGATGTCATTGCCTTCCTTATAAAATATTTTCTCCAATCGAGTACTGTATTCCAGATTAAAAGGCTATTTACGGGTCTTCCTTTGTTTCTGTGGGTCAGGAAGCTAAAAGCCAGACTGTCCAGTCCATTATCAGCCACTGGTGCGGCGAAGGAAGCAAGGCCACTGGCAAGGCCAGGCTGAGTGGTCTGCCTGAGGGCAGGCTGGAGTAGGCCCTCGAGTTTGGGGCCCTGGCTCTACACACCGGAAGAAGGAAGGACCCCCCACACCGGTTTGCAGCAACTCTCAGGCCCGAGAGGGAGGGAGGCAGGGGGCGCCCTCGGCCCCGCACCCACCAAGCCCCCTCCCTCTGTACCCCACGTGGGACGGAGTGGCCTGGAGGGAGAAGTAGGGTGCCCGCGCCCCTCTTCCCATCCCACCAGCCAGCTGTCCATAGACTCGAGGGCTCACATTCGGCCCCTGACCAGAGCAGAGCTTTTGGGGTGTGGGGGGAGGGTCCCCCAGGCAGACCGGCAGCGGGCGGCAGGTCCGGGCCGGGAGGGGCTCGTGTCTGGAGGCTGCGTCTGGCCCCGGCTGGCTCACGGCCGGGCGCCCAC